TTTTTCTCTCGTTTCCCCCCCCCCCCCTTTCCCGTTTCGTTGACCACGCCGCTCCCTCCTTCCCTCCCTTACAGCCGGAGCCCGAAGAATTCCTCGACCAAGTTATCCACGAGGTCGGCGAGGTGCGAGGCCCTTCCTCCGCCTCCGCCCGTGCCGCCGCCGCCGCCGCCGCCGCCACCGCCGCTTCCGCAGAGGGGGGTACCGGCGGCGGCGATACCGGCAGCGGCGGAGGCGGCGGAGGTGGGGCGACGAAGTACAGCCTTGCCGCGTCGGCCGCGTGCGAGTACGACCCCACGTTCGTTCGCCTCAACAGGGCGGAACACGAGGTAAGCAGAAAAAAAGAAAGAAAAATAGACAGGGACTGAGGAGGGAGGACGCGAGTACGCAGGGCTTGGTTGGGCATTCGGTCGGTCGGACTGATGAGTTTTCGTTTCTGTTTCTTTTCTTCTTTCCCTCGTCCAGTACGATAATAATCCCATCTCAGTCCATGTGTAGAAGACGCAATTGATGGTGAATGCCTAGCTTCTTTTTTTTTTTGTGAGAAAGAGGGTGGTGGTTGGCAAGGTACGTTGTGCGCGGTAGACTTTGGCGGGGGGTTTGCTATTAAGTAAACATGTTGGATGAAGCAAACAATCGGAGAAGTTGGGTTACGGTTAGGGTCTGCGTACCCCCTCCCTGTTCTATTTACTTATTACATTAGCTTGTTATCTCGCGAAGGCGGTCCGGCGTGTGAGGTGACTTTCTTTCTTCTTTTTTTCTTTTGTGCTTTTGGTCTTGTAGCTGGCAGCTCGCCGTGCCTGCCCAGGCAAGAGGTGCTTTTGAAGGTGTCTTTCTTGGCGTGCCTATGTCTAGGGGCGAGAGGCAACGAAGCCGCAGCCGTTTTGCATGGCATCGTTGCGGCTTCAAGATAGATAGTACAGCTATTGGTGAGCACGTAGGATGTCGCCGCTCTTGTGGGGTTGTTTTTTTCACTACTGCTGTGGTGTGGATGTATGCGTGTTGCCACGCTCATCCTTGTTCCGTTTCACTGTGCCCCCCTACCAGGCTGTCGAACGAGATTCCGGGAACGGTCGGCCTGCGGTGCTTGTGTTTTGTTTTCGCTTGTGCGACGTATGCACGTGTAAGAGCAAGAGGCTGAAACCCGTCGCTACTTGTCGAAGAGGGTGGTTGCTTTTAGCATGTCGGGTAACCGGGCGTCGTGCCCAGGACGGTTATTTAAACAACACTGCTGTCGCTTTTATTTTGTTTGTCACGCCTTTTATCTATTCGTCAGACAACGCCTTGGTTTTATTATCAGGCATCTAGTCGTCGGAAAACGCGCTTTTATACTATTGTGTTAAATTCATCACTCTCTATCCATAGACGAGTGTCTAGGATAAGCAACTTTCTGTCACCCCTTGAGTCTCATCGTCGGGTTTTGTTATTTTTATCTCCTGACTACTCTTTCTCGCGCAGGCGGCCATTGAAACGGTGGCCCGAAAGCGAAAGGCGGCGGCGGCTTCCTCGGCTGCCGCACCGGGGACGACATTGCCGTGTCCCCTGGTCGGACCGCCTCCTCCGGCGCACACCACCTTCCTCCCCGTCCGCCGCGGTCTGCTGTACAGCCCCGTCGTCATGAGCGCCGTACGGATTGTCCTCTCCAGCTACGCCGATAAGGTACGACAGGCGAGCGGGCGGCTTAATCTATCTAGCACCTCGGCAAGACTCTTGCCGTGTTTATTCTTTTTGGTGTGGCTAGCAAGTTGCTGCCGGTAGGCTGCTGCGCTTCGCACAGCAATTTTGTGTTTTGTTTCGTTTTTGGTTATCATCTACCATGTCCTTTTGCTCCGACAACATCCAGCCGCCGTTTGTTTCTCTGCGGTTGGGCAACGGGCCATGCTGTTGCTATCGTTGTCTCGCAGCGATTGCCGCATCGCCGTGGTATCCATCAATTTTGGTGCCGGCATGCGCAAAGCAGTACAAGTCAACAGCCTTCATGCCCCCGCCCCCCCCGGTGTTTACCATCGGGGTTGGGTTTTCGTCGCTTGGCAACGACGTTGTAAAACNGATCATGTTGTGCGGGGTGGAGAACCCTCGCTCCGCGCAAGGGGGATGATCGCACCACGTTGTGTTAAAATGGTCAAGCACCCTCGAGGCAGTTACACAGTGCTTACAACTGTCTCTGGAAGTGAAGCACCAGAAAATAAATTAAGTCATACGCAGCTGTCATCCGTACGCAAGGAAGGAAGCACAAGATGCCGAACACCCTTAGCAGGATGCAGCGCACCCTTCATGCGACTCGCCGAATATCTCACGGCGCTTCGCGCTTGGTGATGTGAGAGCCTGGTCCGGTGAGAACCCGGCGTGCTCCGTCCCGGCTGTAGGGATGCGAGGTCAATGGTCTAACGACTACGGCATGCACGACTATGAGTACCCCTCCCCCCCTCCCCCGCCACAAATTCCTGGCCGCAGACCCCCGGCAAGTTCTCGGACCTGCTACTTGCGAGGACGCTGCAGATCATCACCCTCCAGCTCCACGGCCTGCAGGACCCGGCGGACCAGGAGTTGCAGGGCACGGAAGGCGGTCGCAGCAGCGGTGCCACGGGCGGTGCATCCGCTGGCGTTTCCAGTGGCGGTGTTGAGGAGACGAAGAGCAGCGGCGGCAGCGGAAGCGGCGGCGGCAGCAGCAGCAGCAACAGCCACGAGGGCGCTTACTTCGCTTCGGTGTTGCTGCGGCAAGAAGGATCCGTGGGCGGAGTCAAGAGAAACAGCCTCGATGCTTCGTGGGTGTTGACCGAAGGCACTTCCGGCGACGGCGATGGCGGCGGCCGCACGGTTAGCTGGAGCGGGGGGGGCGTGGCAAGCGTGTGCGAGGCGTTGGGGAGGGTGGCCCATACCCACGGCGCCCTCGGCACGCTTTTCGAGGACGGTCTCCAGTGGATTGTGAGGGAGTTCGCCCGCCGCAGCCCCGCCTGCCGTGAGACCCTTGGCCGCCTCGGCGCCCTGCCCGAAGAGACCGTAGCCGTGGCTGCTACGGTGGGCGGCGGTGCTGGCGGTGACAAGGGTGTGGCTGGTGGGGGGGGCGAGGAGGTGTCGACGGCGGCGGCGGCGGCGGCGACTGGGGGGGGCGGAGGAGGAGGGCGGAAGACGGGGGCGGCAGCACTGGCGGAAAAGAAGAAGAAGATGCAGGTGCGTGGGTTTCTTCAAGTAGCGGTGTGTGTCTGTGTGTGTGTGACAGAAAGAGACAAGGGATGCAGACAGAGAGAGAGAGANAGAGAGAGAGAGAGAGAGAGAGAGAGAGAGAGAGGCGGGTTCCGTGTGATTTGCTGCTTGTCTGTCTGCTTGACTGGCTGCATAGTAGATGTGCTGCATATGGGAAGCACGAGTGCCCACAGAGGGGGGCAAGTGCGAGTTCTACTCATGCTGCGTTGTGCCGGACGAGAGCAGCCCAGAACTTGCAACTTGGGGGCGATCGCATGGTATGATGGTGCACCTCTGTGGCAGGGAGGCGTTGGTTGCATTGATTGGGGCGCGGAACGCGAAAAATCCGTATTTCTGGCTTAACAGAGGAGGGAAGAACGTAAGGCCACGTTTGATGCCGAACGTTCGAAAGAATTTTTGCTTCTTGCGCTGACTAGCGAGGTAGAGATGGATTGTCAGTGTGGGTCTCGTTCCCGCTCGTTTTCCCACTCTACCAACTACGCGAGCGAAAGTGAGTGATGGTCGTTTCTTCACTCCGTCAACCCCACTCAACAGCAAGTGAGCACCAGGCGTTTTCCCGCTCCGCCAGTCAGAACGTGAGAAACTAGTGGTTTGCTCACTTCGCCAACCACCCAACAGAAACTGAATACCAACAGGTGATGTTTTACGACACGGCGTTGCCCTGACGACCCGTCTCCACCCGACCCGACCCCTCGTGCTGCCTGCCTGCCTGCCTGCCTGCCTGCCTGCCTGCCTGCGGTCGCGGGTCGTTCCAGGCGATGGCCATGGAGGCCATGCGCAAGCGGCAGGCGGAGTTCATGAAGCACGCCGGGCTTGAGGGTCTCTCGGACGAGGAGGAGGACGACGAAGGGGGCGAGGGCGGGAACAACAAGGCCGACGGCGGGACAGCGAGTCAGGTACATTCATGGTGTTGTTGTCGTTGTTGTTGCTGTTGCTGTTGGTGGTGTTTGTGGTGTGGTAGAGCCTCGAGAAAGTTCGCTCACCCCTTGCCGCCGTTGCGTGTACAGTCAAGTACCGCGCCGAAGCGGTTGACCTGCTTCGCGCTCGGCGTGCCTGGTAATCGACGTTCAACCGTACGGTACGGTGTGGTACGGTGTGGTATGGTGCGGTACGGTACGGTGCAGTACGGTGCGGTACGGTGCGGTACGGTGCGGTACGGTATTATACTGTGCGATGGGCAGGACATCTGAATCCAGGCGTTACTAAGCAGCAGCCGTACGGTATGTTACGGTACGACAAGCTCCATCCCATCCCGGATTTGCAGGGGTACTATACGGTACGGTATGATACGGGACGAGGGGCAGGGCATCCGAATCCAGGCGTAACTTTATCCTTCCCCGGCCTCCCTCCACCCCCGGCCAACTACTGCCTCTCCTCCCCTTGCCCTCTGCCCAAACCTTGGCCAATTGTTGCTGTTTTGCCGCTTTTGAAACCGCAAAAAAACGTGTTTTTTCCTTGTTTTCCGAGAGAAGGCCGACGCTCGACGCCACGCGCCGCCCTCCCTGGAGGAAGGGTCTCCGGAGTGCATCATGTGCCACGAGAGGAGCGGAAGGTATGGCACGCGCAACACAGCACGTCAGCAACAACAGCACGCTGTTTGTTGTTGTTGTTATTGTTGTTGTTGTTGTTGTTGTTTGTGTTCTTGTTCTTGTTGTTGATTTTGTTGTTGTTGTTTGTGTTCTTGTTCTTGTTCTTGAACTTGTTCTTGTTGTTCTTGATCGTGTTCTTGATCTTGTTCTTGATCTTGTTCTTGTTCTTGTTCTTGTTCTTGTTCCTGTTCGTAATCTTCTCCTGTTCTTGATTTTCGTCATGATATTGTTAACTGTGAGTGTTTCTCCGTGTGTTGTAGTTATTCTCTGGCTGTGTCATCATTGTTCGTTGTCACCGCGATCTCTCTCTCTCCCCCCGTCTCTACCTCTCTCCGGCAGCTTGATGGGCTACCTGGGTCTGGCGCAGAGGTCACTGGTCCTGGGCACCGGAGTCGCCGGTAACCCTCACAGGGGCCTGCTGCGGCGCCAGATGCTCATCGTTGGGAACTACGGCTGTCAGGTGCATGCGCCCGTCTTTATCACCTCTCAGTAGCTCTAAACACAATTTCGAACAGCAAACCGTCGTTGAGATGTGTTTTCGCCGTGCCCCATACAATGGATGTTGATGATGCTACTCTTGGGCATGTAGTGCGGTAGTTGGGCTGTTGCCACACGGAAGACATCCGCGTCGCCTAAACCGGTACTGGTATTGGACGGGTATTGGGCGGGGACAAGACCGTCGTTTTGGTCAAGACTCAAACGTCAGCACCACCTGCAACAACAAGAACTCTGGGGGGACCCGGATACACGAAGATTACTTGCTTCTGCTCCGTGATCTAGGGTTCACTGTATGTTCTCTATACTGGACTGCTGTCGTTGTCTGCGTCTAGTCTATCCCCACCCAACCCCGTGGGTGTGAAGACGTGAAATTTTTCACGATGTTTCTGCTTTTGTGTCTTTTTTTTTTTTTTTCTTGTGATTGGGACAGATGCGGCGAGGGATCGACGTGACCAGCGAGAAGGTCAAGTTCTTCCCCCCGGGAGGCACGTGCGAGGTGAACTGAGATATAGCAAAGAGAGAAATGCACTTGTGCGTCCGGAGGAGCGTTGTTTTGTGTTGTTGTTTTTTCATCCCCTTTTGTTCATCGGTTTAGCGTTCGCTGTTTCGGACCACGCTGTATTCAAGTCTTGCTTGACCATATCTCAATATCTCCAATCCGAGTTGAAGAACCAAATACGGAGAGGTTGCATGGTCATGTATTTTTGTTTGGTTGGTATGTTTTTCGTCCTAAAATACAAATTCGTGGCTCGCAGTGTTGGAGCACTTTTCTTGTACGACCTTGCTTCACTCCGAATGGCTCTGATCGGAGGTCACAAAAGACACGAGTTTCTCTGGTACATGTGGTGTTATCGTACCCTTCGTCCCCACAACGTGTCGATCGTCAGCCTAGCTAGCCTAGCTACACCTACCTTTGCATCGTTTCTGTATCTCTTAAGAGGTATTTTGACGCATACCCCCCCCCCACTCCCCCCCACCCCCGCCTATTCTCCTCTCCCTCGAACAACACACACCTACCTCCTAACTGCATTCCCGGTCAGACAGCAAACAGGCGGGTGCTGCGTCGATCCTCGTGTTTGCATTTTCACTCATGTCACGTCCGCATTTTTTGAATCGACAATCACTTCTTATCGCCAGGTGTTGGTGAGAGGCGAGGTCGGCGGTGGGTGCGCAGGATCGATCCTCCAAACTGCATTTCCACTCGTCATGCCACCGATCCCCCCCCCCC